CACCTTGTGTGATTTGCGATTCGTTAGGGCCAGAAACTCGTGTTTCTTTAGAAACAGATGTCGACGATTGAGATCGGTGAAAACTGGAATTTATTTGAGAGTCCCGAGAAGTGGAGGTATAAGTGTTCGCATTAGCAACACGATAAGAATTATTTTTGCTATTTTGAGCATCATGATTCTGTGGACCAGCAAAATTAGCACCAATATTTTCCCTAGATTGAGTTTGAGTCGACCCATATTGTAATTGTCGTCGGTGTGAACCTGCATCATTGCTTGTAGGATCAGTGTAGGAGTCATGAAGAAATGTATGGTGTTTCTTGTTGCAAATCAAACAACCTTTTGTAGAAGGACAGTTATTTACTAAATGTTTAGAGCCAAGGCAGTTAAAACACAGCTTAGAGCACATAACAAACTTTTGTTTCTAACTAAATTGCAAGTGTAAATTTTGTGACTGTTTTCTTAACAATACAAGCAATAAAGTGTAGAGTTTGAAGGTGTGTTGGTAGGAGCAAGTAACGCTGTTCTGTGTTGGGTTTTGAAATTAGGACAGGCTCTTGTGACTGTCTTTTTAGTGCTAGCCAAGTTTTCTAAAATTAAGCAGCAATTTTCCAAAAAATTTAAAAACTCGCTCAACTCTGGAAGCTCACTTAAGTCACGCTCAGACTCAAAAGCACGTCTTGTGCCGAAATCGATCTTTTTATCCAAAAGATAAATGAATAAAAATTCAAACAACTATTTATCCGAATGGTTTAAATTTTGAAGAAAAGTCAAACTTCGTCGACAGTTAGTCACAAATTCTCTAAGGGCTGAGGCATTACATTTGGTCATAGGCTCTACATCTAACAATGTGCATTAATTACAGATCATTTATTTTCATAACGTCTATGCAAAATTTCTAAAGCCGCATTAAATTTTTCGTTTGTTACTTGTAGACTATCGATTAAGTTAAGTGCTTCATCGCGCAAAAACGACTTCAAATAAATAAATTTCTGAATGTCAGTAAGGCT